ATATTTCACTCGAATGAGTGAAAAACTTTCATCGCATGCTATTAAAGAACGTCAAAGGTTTTTCTCCGCTGACTACTTTCAGGCCGCCTGCCTTGACCCAAAAAGATACGGGAATTCATTAACGAACAACTTTGAAGTGTAAGTAAATGAAGCCTTCGGAGGGAAAGCGCGCGCTAAATAAAGCGCTCCATTGGCCAATCCATTTCTGAACTGCCCCACGCAATGAACTTCCTTTCCAAATGGTAATGTCATATTCAGTCCAGCAAATTGCAGGAACCAACCGACGCACAGGCAGAGTTTTATTTACGAAGAAGATTCTGACACTACCCAGACCAGGAAAGATGGGAGGCCTGGCTTGTCCACACAGGAATCGAGCTGGGATTCGATCTCGTGACTGCGCCCGTTAAAACGGCGCCATTTTCTGTAGCCCCACTCCAACCACCACCCTAAGTAGTTTTTGATGTATATTTGACCCTCGCAAGCATAGCAAAGCCCCAGCAAGCTTCTTAGAAACCCCAAAAACATAGGAATCGCTTCTTGGTGATAGCGGCTCTTTCTGCTTCCACAGTACGATCACTTTAGTCCGGCAGGATTCACTGGAGCTAATCTTTCCAAACATCGCGCCACTTAAACCTAGCGTCACACCTAAACGAAACACATACCTCGATGAACAAGTGATACTTGAGTATTCGTTGAACTGGTTTGAGGAGATATGCGCTCAATGGAAGAGCGTGTCCGAGTGCCGTTTGACGATGGGCCAAAGCAGCAGCCATATGTGGAAGTTGTTGTAGTTCCGCCAGTGTAGCAATCATTCTGAAACACGACTATGGGAATCGGTCCTGTAAATCTTAATTACCTACTAGTTTGGGTAAAGCTAGCTAACCGATGGTAATTCGTACAGTACACGATGTAGTCTTCGAACTTGCCAGCGTTTTCGACAAAACAACGGCTCATCTAAAACAATACAAGCTTTTGGAAGGAAAATAGGAAAAAGAGAATGGAACAAAGAAATGAAAGAGAATCATGACTAAGAAGGCTCATTAGAAGGCGAAGCATTCCTAGGAAATATTTTTCTCTTTTAAAAGTCTGTCCGAAAGGTTTCTCAGCAGATTAGGCTACCGTATTGGCTCCTTTTCGAAGAAGTCAGAATGAAGAAATTTTTTATATGTGTATGAAACTTTAAGTTGTTTTTTTGTTTATTGCTGTCTCGCCGCACTTCGCCTGTATCTCAAATCCCCGAATGCATGAAAATTAAATCTCTTCAATGAGCTTGCCTCAGTCGTGCGTGAGCTGTTCAAGGTACTGGACTAAGGGTACTGGAACTAGATCAAACTCAATTTTTTGTCTCAGCCTGGGCGCGAAAAGTTTCATTCACAACCCAGCATTCTAAATTTTGCAATCGGTCAGATGCAACTGCGGCTTCCAGGAACTCAGAAAGTTGCGGAAGGCCATCAGTGCCACATTAATGTAACTCTCGGCCATTAAAGGCAAAGTTCGGGCTCAGACCCACCTAAGAAGCCCTTACCATGGCTAGAAGTGCTGGGTACGCAAGTGCAAAGGTAGCGCCACCTTTCTACATCGAAACGCGTCACTAGGACCCTAGGCGCCATGGACTTCTAACAGACTCCACCAAACTTAACATGGTCCGCCCACCGTTCGATATCTTGTCTGCGTCGCCACGTTGATCTGCTATGCTCTCTCTTCTCGGACTTCTCTCTACCACTCTCCGCGCTCACATTATCTCTCATCTCCCTGCCTGTCTTTTGAACTTCTCCACAGCATGGAGCAAAATGCTCGTATTCCTGTGTATTTCAGGATTTTCTTTCTTTTTTCTCCACTGGCGGTCCACCTTCCATCCCTACTTTCACATTTGAGTGGAATCACCCCATCAATTAATCCTGATTCTGCCTTCATGTTGTTCAAACTCTCCAACTTGCGCTAATCTATGGTTACCCGTTTCTATTCAAAACTAACGGTCCCTACTTCAGCGTCACAATTCTGTGAACTTTCTGCAGTAAAAAGTAAGGAATTGAACTTCAAACATTTCGCTTTCATCTGACAGGATAGCTGCTTACTAATCTTCAGTATTTTTGCACCCTGTTCGAACTTGTGGAGAAAAAGTTTTCTTTAATAAAAATATTTTCAATTCATTCTCAAAGGATCCCTAACAAAATAACTGCATCAAGAGAGGGATTCTGCTGCATTCTTTGGTCACAAATTGTCCCGATTGGTGAAACCTCATTTCACAAATAATTAGTTACGCTCTTCTCCCTGTTCATAGTTTTCTTTTTTTGACCTTAATCGTAGCCGAAAGGTCATAATTCTGTCAGCGATCGCTCAGTAATAGCTAGGCTCCTAACTTCATTCAGGCATTATTTATTGTATATAGCTGTTCTGTAATAATTCATCGCTGTTCCTTCAAAGTAGTGGTCTCCCGTTGAGATCCGTCAAAACAACGGGCGTACGAATTAAGCTCGAAATCTAGACATCTAGACGACTACGCGCCACTTACCTTTACGCAGTCCAAATCGGCCATGTCCAGCTGTTGGAGGAGTTTTCGATTGAAAGCATAGATACGTTCTATGCAACCAAACAATGACGATATATCGTCCAACGTCACGCCAAGCTCATCGCGATGATCAACCAAGAAATTCAGATAACCCTAAACTTGTCAATTTTTGAAGAGCATGTGGAAAAAGTTGAAAACTATTACTAAATGAATATTCAAATGGAACATCAAAACTTCGAGAAAAGTAAGTGGATTTCAGGAGAATATCCGTTCACTTGGAAGTTATACTGGCTACAAATAAAGCCTCATGAGAAATTAAATTGTATCAAAATATATTGTATTTAGTAGAGCTGCAAATAGAGGAGGACACTACCATCTAAAATATTACCCGATTCCACTCACTTAAAGGTGATTGAAAAAATGGAAGACTAGAAATGAGAACAGGAAAGGAAAAAACTGAAAAAAATTGATGGAAAGCAGAGACAATTATAAGGAAAAAAAGAGGAGAAAGGAGTGCGCAAAGAAAGAAACCTATAAAAAATTGAAGAAAATGAATGCTGACATTGTAGAGGCGCTGTTGGGGAGAAAAAAATGGATGAGAGAGTAAGGGTGGGAATGGATAATTCTGTGGCGGTGACCCACTAATCGTAATGCTAAAATAGTCATGCCACCCAAAAATCTCACAGGTAACGTTAGGCAGCATGAGCGCTTACTAGAGTGCCAAATTAAAATTAAAAACAGTTTTCCCTCAGAACCTTTTCGAGCCGAACCATATCCATTCTAAGAAATCTTAGAATGGCCATGAGCTTTCTTCCATAATTTAACGTCCCATTTTTCAGAGGCTTTATAGCGATCGCTCTTTTCGTGTGAGCTACCTATACCTCAGAAAATGAGAGAGCGTCGAGTTCAGACGCACACCAACAAAGCACGAAACGCCAAGAAAAGTACTTTTCATTTTTTCTTTCATGGCCGTCGTCACTTGTAGTGTGTGGTTCTGCACTCGATGCTCTTCTCGTTTTTCCAAAATAGAGGGTATGTAGAATACCGGAAACCCCTGTTACTCACCTGTATCACAGCGTACAAATCGTCCACATAAGCCTTTTCGGTATCGAAAAGTTCGATGGCAATGCGGTCGATGTGCGATAGGCTGCCGGCCGATAATAAAGCTGATCGCCGCGATGAGGACAAGGACGATAGGGACGAATGACTGAAATCGACGACTGTAGATGCTGGGCTGCTCACAATTCAGGTAGCTACCAAAACGCTTTTGACCAAGTACATCTTACAGCTGCACTTTCTGGAAGGAAGCTAAGCTTCTAGTGTCATATTCCGAAAAGAGCATTCCAATACTTGTTCATTTTTTGAACTGTGCAGCATTAATGCGCTTACTTTAAGGAGCGGCAATGCGCTCGATACTGATTTTAGCCCCATGAATCGCGCCATGCATCGGTCTCTCTTTCAGGGTCGTGGTCGATTTTGATTGAGCATGGCAAATACAGCGACATCCAGAAGCTACCCTATGTGAAAATTGATGTTTAAGACTAATCACGCTTCAAATAGCCTATTCAGGAAAAAGGAATACCCTAAAGAAAATCCTCCCTTTCCTTACTCCTTCCTGGGATGCGCCACGTACTAGACTTGTAGTCAAAATAATGGTGGCTTCTTTGTCGTACTTCTTTTTCTCTTTGTAATTTGAATAGGGTGGATAAAAAGACAAATGAAAGCCACATGAGGTACAAGGCAGGTATTCCATCTCCAAGGACGGCCCTCGTACTAAATAGGCGACCCTCAAAAGGCTCCATTGACGAAGATGCTATTCGATTCTCGGACCACGTAGCATGCGGCAGTGACGTGTTCTGCCTTTTTCCGGCCTCTGTTAACTAAGGGTCTCTTGATGGCTTGATTAAGCGCCAAATTTGTCGCTAAAGCTAAAAACAAAGAAAATTCTGGAGAAAGTAGAGAAAGGGAATGCGTTTGGTCTTTGCAAACTTGGTCGGTATGCAACCCAAGCTGAGTCAGCTTTGATCGTCAGTATCACATTCACAGCGGTCGACAACGACACTTACTCCACTTGGTAATGCGGACATAACGCTCTCGCACCAAATAGAACCTAAGACCAGTTCCATATTACCAGCCCATTGAATTAACGCCGCAGTGTAGAATCGAAAGTGGAATGAAAAGGAAACAAAGGAAACAACACTACTACAACTAACCTAACGAGGCCACTATCACGATTATTCTGCTGGTCTTCTCCTCCATCTGAACTACGTAGGGAGGAGCGTGCCGAGCTGTAGCCAGTCGATGAGGACACAAACGACAATCGGGCAGGATCCTGAGAAAATACCTATGAAGCCGGAACAATATATGGAGAAACAACGTCATTGGAAGCAGTTGATTGGTTAGTAAATATCTTGATCAAATAAAGTCAGAAATAAACAGGAAATGATAATCACCTTACAAAAAATAATAAATTACACAATAAAAACAAAAAATTAAAACGTAAAAATAACAGAAATTTGTACATAATCCTCATCTATTAACCAAAATCTCAGAACTGGAGATTGCCCTTCACCTAAGTGTCTAGTTCCTCATTCTATCTGCGCTGATCAACGTATTGATTATGATCCTTGTTTCCTGCCCCCCCCCTCACTTGTTAAAGGCTATCAAAAGTGAACACTCCAGCTTTTAAAATGATTTTGCCTATATGTTCAAGGTAGGTCAAGCCCTGTTGGTAACGGTTGAGTGATTTGCGCCAACCTTCTCCCCCCCGTACGCTAATCATTACTGTCAAGGTGTACTGGTTAAATACTCGAAAGAAAACCTAGCGCGACCACTCAGTAATCACAATCTGAAGCGCGCTAGTGTACTTAAGGAGAGGTTTCATATGCAGATCTGAGCCAAGTGAAAGAGGTAACTTTGGAGAAATTGAAGTTGCCTTACAACAACGCTCCACTCATTTGCCCATGATTATCGGTTAGCCCTAAGAAAGAGAAGCTAGAAGGAGCGGAATGAATGACTGCTGATTTCTCCGTTTCTCCACCTACACGCCACCGACACCGATCCTACTAGAAGTGCCACAGTATCGAAGCGCGTAGGTCCCCTGCTAAATTACGAGTACCAAAAATTGGCCTACAACAAAAAACTTTCAATTCGAAGACATCGAAGGCGGCATGGCGAAATTGAGTAGGCCATGAACTTCAGAAGGAGAGCTGGATCCGAAAATGAACAAAAGCGAATCCTGGCTTCCTTTGAAAATCGTGGGAGTTTCCGAGATTCTACCTCACAAATTTATTCCCTTTCTGTTAGCAGATGACAGCTAATTTTGGCGCTATCGCAAGATAGGGGGTCACCGCAGAGACAGCGTATTCATAACGAAGTAAACATCTGCTTTTCGTTGAAAACCGGAGTATGACTTAGGCGGGAAGAAGGAACTCGGGGAACGTAAGCAACTATCATTTTCTTTTAAGTTCCTGCCCCCTCCCAGGCTTAGTCCTAGAAGATGCCCCCGTATCTTGCGATAGCTTCCTAATTTTTATTACAGTAGGAAATTCTAACTATCCATTGCTAGGGAAATTCAACCATGTAACCACTCACCTCTTCAGAGAGCCGTGCAGACGTTAAGGACGTGGGCGGCATGTCATCGGTAGGAGGACAACTGAAAACTTCGAAAAATTAGAACTACTGAGAGATCAAGAACGGGTAGAAAAAAACCGAGAAGGGGTAAAACAACGTTGAGAGATTTGAAGGTGGTCGAGTCATTAAATGCGCTCAAAGCGATAAACCAGCTGGTGTAAGGCGAGACCAAGCGAGAAATGAGGTAGAACGATGAGAGGGTGAACACGTTCAACCCGAAAACGACGAACCCTCACGAGTAACCGGGGCGGCGGCCATGGCGGACGCGACGGATGGTGGGCGCCGCCCAGCGTCCTTCCTAAGTGGACTTTCTGGGCCAACAACGAATTATACCCGTTAATCACATATTCTTTGTGGTTAAAGAGGCTTTGTGGACCTCTTCAAAAGCATTTTCAAGGTCGGGCGAGAGCGGCTGAGCAATCAGCCAGCAATTGCGACCATCAAAGGTCTGACATTTGGAGCGCCATAGGGAAGGTCATGAAGCCATTCTGCTTAGCGGGATGCGCCATGAATTAGGCTTCCGTCTGATTATTCATGAATAATGAAGCTTCAAGTAATTTGCGAGGAAAAGTAGGAAGACAGTTCTTTATGCAAAATAAGTATGAAGTTGACCGAATTTGTGGAAATGAGTTCAAAAAATGAAAAAGAAAGATCGACGTTACCATGCAGGAGCGCGTCAAAACAACGATCCCCTTACTCATTGCTCTACGGACCGTAGCAGACCATTCTTTCTGGCCATCAAGGAAAAACTCTGCTGGAAGCGGCTGTAGATGCAGCCAAAGAATGACGGAAATTAAAGCCATCAAAAAAGCCACAAAAATACCAAAAAACCCCAGGATTGAGCGGACGTTTTCGCCAATACCTTGCCAGTTTCAAACTGAGGCTAAGGTTGCTCTGAGCCTAGTTAGTCCACTGTTTCTATGAATTATCGGGACATAGTGCATTCTCCCATTTTCGTACAATTATGCGAAGCTGAACGAAGTCAGCAATTTCCTTCAAATTCAAAATGCCTAACAAGCCTCCCTCAGGAGTTACGGGCTGTAAAAAACTCTGGTACCAGTCGTTATAGAATGTCAATCAAACTGACGGTTTCCTGGATGTTTTACGCATCGGAGAGCTGTCTTGTTCACGTCATCCTGACAAAAACCCAGAAGTGGTTGACACGACTACGCCGGAGGGTTTTTTCAGCTCACCTGTGCGCTGAAAACGGCGAGAAAGGATCGGACGAAGAGCTGCGTGGCCGCGGTACGTCAGCGGCGATCTTGCTCGGGATATATGAAAAAGGCCCGCTGCGAATTAACTGCTACTGGAAAATTCGATGAGGCCAACGAAATCTAGGGCGAGCCGTTCAAACTCATATGCATCAGATAGGCCCAACCTCCGAGGTGAAGGAAATAGGTATCCCAAATGACGTCAATTCCCTCTGCCCACCTGGATATTCTCAAACCTCTAACAAATATTTCCGACTGTTTGGGTGAAGAAAGACATGAAAAACGTTCGAGAAAGGAAAGCGGCCATTGATCAACTTGAACGCACTCAATAACCCAATCACTAAAAACCCTTTTTTTTGATTATGAACATAAGGGGGGGAGATGTTACGAGCAATGGCGTCGCTTCACAACGGCGCAGACACGAACTCGAATCCTAGATCGACTTCCGTGCAAGTCACCCTGGCATACACCCTCCTGAGTCGGACGATTGGTGAAAAATTTGCTCAGGAGTACAGAAACGGTCCCCCGTACATAAACTGGCCCTGCGGGTCATTGCACAGAGCAAATCCCATTCAAACGCTAGTGTGGACTCTGCATGGAAATAGAATGGCGTGGCGCACAGCGAAAAGGACTGAACGCCTGAATGGCTTGTTAGAAATTATCATTCGTTGAGATTCTCAACTGATTAGAGCTCATGATCGCACCTTTGGAGGCGATAAATCGAGGCCCGAATAAAAATCTCTCCATGTTATGAGTTGGGACTAAGGCTATGAGTTAGAGTGGGAAACTGAACCCCGAATCTGAAAAAGGTAGCACCCCATTATAAGCGTCTCCCTTTACCCCACCATCATGTGTGCCTCATAATAACTAGACGCTATCCCTTAGAAAGCTCAAAAGTATTCAATAATAGGGAGGTTACATAAAAAAAATTAGAGATGTTCCTAGGAGAGCAGAATATGTTGATAGACAGGTGGTTCCTCTTCGCGATTGATTTACGATGGCCATCAAAGCACAGCCGATTTGGAAGAGACATTCAGTGAAGCTTTCAGCTGTTTCAATAAAAAATAGATGGAATTGATGGCGCAGGGCTTACAATGTTCACAAAACAACTCGTTCTTCGCAAAGAAGAAGAAAAATTAGCGCTATCGCAACAGACGGGGGCCTCCTCGAGGACCACTCCTACGCGGATGCAGGAGCCCCTGGAAAATGAGAATACGATCGCTCACTTGAAGCCCTCCTCATCCCCCTAAGTCTTAGCCCCATTTCAACAAGAGGCCATGTTTTACGCGATTCTAAATGCATTGATATCACAATGCCCCCGTATATTGCGATAGTGCCGAAAAATTTTCAGAGAGCTATTGAACAGATGGATCATCGATCGACCACTTTGTCAAACTTTTACTACTTAAAGGCACTTTTCCCTAGTGCTCAGTGTGAGCAGTGAGACTTTTAGAGCTCAAAAAATAGAACTGCAGATGCCGTGTTGTTCTTCGCTGAAGGAAAACCGCAGAACCTCTGAGGACTGGTCTAAGTAAAACCCCCTTTTTTTACAGTTCACTATAAAATCTAAGAGCTAACAAATAGAAGACATTGTTCACGGGAACGAGTACATACTAGAATAGGAGGAAATCAGAGAACAAAGGGACCGAGCGAGACGCAGACGTGCAGGGAGTATCAATTCCGGGGCGGAGTCGCGAGGGCAACGCATAAGGTCTGCGGTAGAAAAATAGCAATAAAATTTTTAAGATTCACTTAATTCACAATAAATTAAAAAAGCAGTCCTGATCAGACCACAGCTGTTTGCGCCTCAATTTTAAGGATTCGCTGCTATCAACTCGTTCCACGTTATTTTTATACAAATGAATGTAAACTATATGTGAAGAGACCTCCTAGCGCGTCCCGCCGAAGACCGCGCTGGTGGCGCTGTTGCACAATTTCGTTTCAATCATCCTTGTTTCAATGACATACCGTCACGAAAACCTCTTTCGCTGCACAAAAATTCATCACCTCGTACCACTGCGCGGCTGTCAAAAAGGACAGGGCGAAGGGTGTTTTCCTTAGGTCGTGGAGGTTGCGCACATGGTACCCGCTCGAACGCTTCAGAAGAACCACGAGTTTAATTTGCGGGTGACCGCTGTCGGACGACGACGAAGTGGAAGATCTCATAAAAAGGAAATTAAAAGCTACAACAGCCGCGCTCACATATGGAACGGGGTTCTAATGAGCTGCGCACAGGGCCAAACGTTATTGAGTTTAGGGGAAGTCCTGAATGCATGGCTTACTCCTAATGGATCGATTATGAAATTATGCAAAAGAAAGGCACCCCTTGCTACAGTAATCCAACATAAATTTCCTTCACTGGATATTGGTGATCAAGAACTCCTTTGAAAAATGGAGTGGGTAGATACTGATCGATCTGTGTGTTAGGAATGAGCCATGCATTCGGAACCCACGTAAGGTTGTAGCTAAGCTTGAATGCGTGTTTGACCCATTCCTTTACCTTTCCAGAAGTGCTGGAATCTATTCTCCAACTTTAATGGATGGAAATCTCACGATGCACTCAGACGAGCAGGAAGAGGTAGGGCAACTGATAGAGCTGAAAAATTTAGGGGTCAGCAGGACCCCCCTCCTCACCTGTAGTGACATTTGCGACCTTCGCTCCGTATTTCCTGTACCTTTTATCCAGGTAGTCCGAAGACAGCAATAACGACCACTTTAGCCAAATTCTGCCTCTTCCAAAAACTGCAAATACGAACTTAACCTCCCCCTCACCCCACCACCTTGCGGATTGACTGACCTAACAGCTGACACGAATGACCCTAGGAGGCTGTGTTGGAAGGGCTCGCTCCAAAGCTAGAAATTGTGGCGGTTTTTTCTTGGCAGAATAAAATACTTGCTCAGGGCAATATAGTACAATCTATGAGCCTATATAAAACAGTAGCCACAGGATGGAAGGTAAAGACCTTCAGACTGTTTTTGATTGACCATGAAAAGCTGAGTTGGGATGAAATGGTGCCCCGGTAGCGTAACTGGTAGCGCACTTGCCCGGAAAGCGAGAGGTGCGGGTTCTAGTCCCGCCTGGGGCGAAAGTTTTGTTCACAACCCAGCATTCTTGTGAAAAAATCATTCTTGTGCCAAAACTTCGGAGAACTTCGAATTTTCGGTTTTGTTTCCAAATTACCATTTCGATATCAAACTCATACCCTTGGCCCTTCCGATCCACTCTAGAACTCTATTTTTTGAAATTTTCCTTTGAACTTGAAAAAATAACAATCACCATTTGTTTGCTCATTACCATCCATGAATATGACCAGGCTTGTTCGGTCGTAAAAACCGTTTTTCCTCACATTCAGATTACTTCAAAAACTAGTACACCACCGAAGGTCACCTCTATAAGAGGCTGTTTACATAGCACTCTAGAAAAAGATTTCCTGCCGAAAACGTCCTCTATCTAGCCCAGGAAAAAAACTGTCTCCGCACACATTCGCAGCCAAAAACACAATCAAGGTATTAATTATTTCAGTGGAAAAAACTATTCAGGACAATGTGGTCAATGGAAAATGGTCAGGTAGAGGCGAATGGACGGCGACATTCATTGGACGTGTGCGGTGAACAAAAACGAGACGGACGCGGAGAATGTCAAGCACTCAAAACCTGATATATTAAAGAAAGTCCGCCACTTAGCGCCTCTCATTAAGAAAGAAGAAATCCTCTAGATCCTCTAGTGGACGGCGAAAGAATGAATTCGTCCGTACGGTACACATCCCTCATCAGGAAACTTTTTAAGCGGTT